TTGCTTTGTAGATTGTAATCGCAATCAGTACTTGTTTTGGCTTCGTGTCTTGCGTTTAAAATTTAAACGTGTTTGTTTTGTAAGTGTAAGGCCACTAATTTTGTTAGCACATTGCATCCATTTCTTAATCAAAGTAACGTTTAGCAAAAACTAAGTACAAACGCAGTTTGTATCTTGATATAAGAACAATAATCAAGTTTTTAAATCAACAAGCAAAGTTTTTAAAAGACGTTACCCGTATATTGATGGAACCACTAGGCGAACTCATAGTCAACTATGTAGTCGTAGTTTCCAACGGTCGTCACCATCCGAGCTACAAGACTAACTTCCGGTCTAACCTCTGTGATCTGCATATATAAATATGCAAATATAAATCATGCTTATTATATTATATCACACTAATAAATGGTACGATTAATCAAGATAGATTTCATAATATGAAAGTATAAGTTATTACTTTCAAACAGTTGTAGTTTCGGTATGTCTCCACAAAATGTCTCCAGCATATTTTTCGAAAGTACACATAACATTTGGTATTTTTGTAGGAGTTCCGTATTGGCCCGCAAATATGCCTTCAATGAAGACGGCACCTGCGGGACAATCGGTGTACGGTTCAAGGGACACTGCCGATTGGCTGCAGCCAAATTCACCGCAGTCTAGGTAAGTTCTGTAGTACCAGTCTTCACTTGGATCCATGTAAGGTACGATTATCTCGGACAAATGGCCTTTGTATAGGACTTGTCGGTACTTGTTCATGTCCCTGTCGAAAACTGAAGCGAGTGAGATGACGAGACAAGCTCGAACGTCGAATGACATATGGAATGCCCAATTTGCCCATCATTCACCATCATGCATGTAAAACCAATTAGGCCTTGATTGTGTAACAAATGCGGATGCGGAAATCAAGTTTTTTTTGGTAAAACGCATTCATGTCACCAATCACAATTTTTAATCAAATAATTATTTTTTATTAAAAGTAAAATTTTTATATGTTTGCGTTTCTCAAGACTGGTAATTTACTCAATGGATAAGGAAACGCATTTCAAAAATGAAAAGCATGCAAGACCCTGCGGTTTGCTCGAAATCTGCATTCTATTATCCATTGGATAAGAA